TGAGACCCTGTCTCTAAATGAACTATAAAATAGGGTTGGGGATGTGGATTGTGGTTGAGGGCCCCTGAATTCAATCCCCTGTATCCCCCCCCMAAAAAAAGTGGGAACACACATGCTCTGCTCTGTCCTGTCTCTCTGTGTGTGAATCCCACAAAGTTTAATCCATTTTTACATTATGTTATTACTGATAAAAAAGGACTTCTATTATTTTGATATTTATTTTATATATGTCTTATAGTTCTCTCCCCATTTCCTACATTACTATTTTCTTTTCTTTTTAGTTGGTTTTAGTAAAATATTTTAGTTCCCTTCAAATTTTCTCCTGTGTAATTCTATACCATTTTCTCTGTGGTTGCCACGATGATTACATTTAACATTCTAAAGTTATGACACACTAACTTGAACTTGTATCAAGTTAGTATATTAATGTCAATAATATACAAAACTCTACTTTTTTATAACTCTATTGAAAGGGTAAAGTTTCTAAGCAGGAAGGCTTGAATTAAAATGTAAAAGATTAGGTACTATATTGAGTTCCTCTGTTACACCCAGATTCCTGAGATAGTTAAGACAACACCCTACTAGCCATTTAGCCTAGGGTCCTGTGCAGTTTGTCACAGGGCCCGAACCAATCAGTTTGAATGTGTACCCCACTTAGGAATGACCAATCACCCCCACCCGATCTGTTCCCACCAATGAATGTGCCAATCACGTCTCAGAGTTGTTGTTCAATTTCCCCGAGCCTCATGATGATTTGTTCTGATGTATGCAAAGCCTCCCGCCCTCCCCAAAAAGTGTACTTAAGCTCTGTTTGAACCTCTGCTCGGGGCTCTGGGCTGCTCTCCCTTCTTGAGTGAGCACAGAGTCCCAGCGCGCTGGAATGGATCCCAATAAATATCCCCTTTTGCCAATTGSATGGAGTCAGTCTCTTGGGTGGTCTCTCCCTCCGACGTTTCGCCGTACCTTTACACTATCTCCATCTTTTGGAGTTATTGATATCACAAAATTACATCTTTATATATTTTGTGTCCAAAAACAAACCTAATAATGGCTTTTTGATGCAATTAAAAATTATATACATGAATTTTAGTATGAAAAACAGTAGGGAGATTCCTCAGAAAACTTAAATGGAACCACCATTTGACCCAGCTATCCCACTCCTCAGTTTATACTCAAAGGACTTAAAAGCAGCACACTACAGTGACACAGCCACATCAATATTCATAGTGAAGGGAAAGCTAGGAACTAGAGATGGATAAGAGAGACAGAAACCAGGCAGAGACACATAGGAGAGTTTATTTGTCAGAGCTGACAAATAAAGACCATCTCTCTATAGGAAAGAGAGGGCCAAGACAGCCTTGGGTTCYAGACTTTTATGAGGGAGGCTCGGGAATCAGAGCTGTGTGGGTCCTCATGCAGGCAGTTAAGGGTTGAGTTGGTATGAGGGAGTGGTGAGCCTTTCTCAGAACCGCCTTTGGGCGGGAAATCAAAACTTTTTCCTTAAAATGGTGGCTGTCACTTAAGATGGCCGTCCAGACACTAAGCAAGGACCTTATATACAGCAGCTCGACTCACAATAGCGTAATTATGGAACCAACCTAGGTGTCCTTCAACAGCTGAATGGTTAAAGAAAATGTGCTATATATACACAGTGGAATATTACTCAGCCTTAAAGAAGAATGAAATTATAGTATTTGCCAGTAAATGAATGAAGCTGGAGAATATCATGCTAAGCAAAATAAGCCAATCCAAAAAATCAAAGGCTGAATGTTTTCTCTGATATCCAGATGCCAATTCACAATAAGGGGGGTGGGTGGGGACTAGGGAAGAATAAAGTTACTTTGGATTAGACTGAGGGGAATGAAGGGAGGAGAGGAGGATAGGGGTAGAAAGGATAATAGAAAGAATCTGAAATTTTTTCCCCATGTATACATGAATATGAAGCCAGAATTACACAGGCGGTCAGTATAGATAGGTAAATCCAGTCAGGCTGGATCAAGGAGGCCAATTTTGATTGAGTCTGCAAAGTTGGAGACTGTTCCCTGAGGGATTGAGATGTTAATTCCTTCAGAGCCCTTCCTCCACCCTTAAGAAGAAGCTGCCCCTGCTCACACCTGTTGTCAAGGTAACCTGTCCCAGTAATTTCCCCTCCCTACAGGGAGCTGTGAGGTTGTTTTTGTGTCTTTGGCTACTTCATCCTGCCCTTCCCCCTTCAGCCCACCTGCTCCCATCTTTGGGCCCTCCCACCAAGCATTCCTGGGCCTAGTCACAGATGCAGGAAGGAGAAAGATAAGGGGAAGAGGGCAGGAGAACAAAGGAAGCCTAGGACATACAAAAAAGGCAGAACACCTCACTCTTGGGATACCGGCTATGGCCCCCTTCTCCCGCCCTGGAGAAGTCTCTGTTACCCCTTTTTAATTAAACCCTGCTTTATATGCTTGCCTCGGCGTGCTTCTCTAATGTTCAAACTTAAACATGTGGGGAAGCAAGACTCATCACTGATATCCAGCGCTATCAACTCTACAACTGGTGTGATTCTACATGTACAACCAGAAGACTGAGAAATTATACTCCATATGTACGATGTGTCAACGTGCATTCTATTGTCATGTATAAATAATTAGAACAAATTCAATATATATATAGAAAACAAAATCTGGAGTTACGAACCAAAGTTATAATACTACTGTAACTGAAAGTTGGTCCTTGTCTCCAGTGCCAATTAATGTCAATTTAATAATGAGGACATGATTTTGAGAAATAGGGAAAAGAAGTTTTATTGCTTTGCTAGCAAAGGAGAAACAGGGGACTCCTGTCCCAGAGCCAGTATTTCTGCCCACTAGGGAAAAAGAGGGCATTTCTATTCAAAGGCTATATTCCAAGTGTGTCCTGGCAGGGGGCCCAAGGGGGCGGTGGTGACGTGCTAGAATTAACTTGTTCTTTTGGGAGGTATTCACTTCCTAGATCCTCTGGCAGATATCTTCTTGGGGTGGAGGGGGAGCACTGGTAATTTAARGTAATCTCGTTTCCTGCCCCCAGGTTAGGGAGGGGGAGAGGGAGAAGAGGAAAAGAAAAACATGTTCTTTAAAAAAATAAGCCTCAGAGCCTCAGAGGGCTATATTCAAAAGGTGAACCATGTTGTACTACTAGACCTTAAACTAATAATTGTTTTCTTTTAAATATATTATTAGTCTCCGAAATCATACAGAAAACAAAACAACAACAGAAAGGTGTTACAAGGCCTTGTTACAATAATACTAGATTTTTACAACTACCCATGTATTTACTTTTACCGAGATCTTTATTTCCTCCTACAGCTTCAAGTTCATGCCTAAGCATCCTTCTATTTCAACCTGAAGGACTCCCTTGAGCATTTCCTGATGGGCAAGTCCAGTGTTAATGAACTCCCATATCTTTTGTTTATCCTGAAATATCTTAATTTTTCCTTTTTTGAAAAAAACACTGCTTGGAAAAATAAAACAAAACCAGACAACAACAAATGGTGCTGGGGATTGAGCCCAGGGCTTCATACATTCTAGGTAATTGCTCTACTCCTGAGGTATGCACCTGACTTCTCCCTCACTTTTAAAGGACTGTTTGATGGATATAGGATTCTTGGCTGACAGCTTTTTTCCTTTTGGCATTTTTTTTTTAATTTATTGATCGTTGGCAAACATTTATTGAATGACTGTATGAAGGAGATAATGGTTTACCTGGTTTTGGAAAGCTGAGTAGGATCTGGGAAATTGAAGAAAGGATGTGTTTAACTGTAATAAGAGCTAGCCCAATTATCAGCAGCTTAACTTTGAAAGACCCTAGCCCAGTTAGCCCAGTTACCTAAGGCCAAGATATGAAACCAAGATATCAGGCAGGCCATAAACAGGTTCAGGCGCCAGGCATGCTTTCCGGACAACCGGTTGAAGAACAGAGCACCCGCATCCTGAGGCATGAATGAATAAACCGGAACAGATAAGCAGGAACAGAAAGAATAGAATGCAGACCTGTGGTTTTTGGAATGCAGACCTGTACCCCCTAGGTGGCCTATATGCTAGATTTAAACAAACCAATAAGAAACCTGTTGCTTCCCGAGCGCGCGAAACCTGTCCCAAACCCTATAAAAATCTCTGTATCCCCAAGCCCGGTGTGCCAGTTCACCAAGGCTCCGGCTGAGGTTCTACTGGGCATCCGCAGGCGCTTGTGTCCCAATAAACCCCCTCGTGCTTTTGCAGCCAGTGTTTCGTGTGATTCTCCTTGGACAGGGAAACGGGGGGTCTTTCTTTAACGGGGTTGTCTTTCAACTTGTGAGGGCATCTATTGTATATTTAGAGATGTGGATGTGGTTGTTGTAATGTTGATTCTGCTGCTTAACAATGTCATTAGTCACTGTGGTTCTTTTAATTCTTCCACACTGGTATCCCCAACATGAAAGCTCTTGTCTTTCAAGCTTGATACCTCATGGTCACAAGATGGCTGCCACAGCTCTAGGCATTATATCTTCCACAACAGTGTCCAAAATAGGAAGAGGAGTAAGGGAGCAAAAAAGCAAACTTTTCATATGCCTTTTGCATCCACAGAGAGGAAAATCCTCACTGCCACTCCTCACACCCCTTGGAGAGTCCTCTTGACATTACCCTCACTCTTGAACTGGACCACATGCCCACTCAAAACCAACGAATGGTAAAGCACAGAAATGACCACGATTCCTTTGGCCAGTGGGATTTACCTCCTGGGCTGTGTTCAGCTCAACCCAGGAGCCCACAGCAGTGCCTGCCCTGCCCCGTGGCAATGTGGGGTGGGCAGGGCTGCTTCTCCCCAGAGCTRTTCCTTCCTCTTGGTCATTTGGGAATACAAGGTTCAGAGAGGCTAGGAAATGTGCACAAGATCACACAGGAAACTGGGAGGAGCAGAGGTCAGCTCCCACCCCACCTCCAGGCCCCGGGAGCAGCTGGGCCCTGCAAGGCCCTCACTCAGCTCTGCTGCTGGGTGACTGGCAACTTTCCCACGAGGCTGTCGCTCCCTACATGTGGGGACCTGGGGTCTGCCCACCAGGTTACAGAGCCCACACAGCAGGGGTCCCGGGCGTATGGGACAGAGGACATCTGGCCTGTGGCTTGACACCCCGCAGCAAGTGGGAACGAGAGCCCTTGGCTGGCGCAGGCTGATGAGGACGCTGAGAGGTTCTGCTGTGTGGAAGAGAAGGAGCAGGAGAGGCCACAGCGGCAGCCGTAGTGGGAGAAGCTTCCAGGGGACGGCCTCAGCTCGGCCACCGTGGGCGGCGGGGAAGTGCTTCCAGAGGTGGAAGGTGTCCTCCGGGTGCTCCTGGAGGGATGCCATGGGCACCGAGATGGGAGGCCCGGAGTACGCGCCCCAGAGCCCAGCTGGAGAGTCTCCACGACGCTGCCACTGGATCTTACAGTAGGGGACTTGGGAACTCAGAGAAGGTAAGTCACCTGTCCGAGCCACACAGCTGATGGTGGAGACGGGATTTGACTCAGGTGGAGTGCCTGTCCCTCCTCTTGGTCACGAGGCCACACGGCCTCTCATGGTCCTCTAGGGGCCTAAGGCTCTGTGATTCTGGGATCTGGGCTCCAGCACGGTTAGGATGTGTCTCTCTGATTCTCTGATTCCGAGCAGACTCGGGGATTCTGAGAGCCCGTGGTGTCACCCCAGGCCAGCAGGATCCTTGGGATCCGCCAYGACATTTGGTGTGATGGAAGGTGCTGGCTCTTTGGGATGAGCTACCGTGGGCCCTCTGCCTGCAGGCCTGGCCGCCGGTCCTGCGTCCAGCTGGCTCCAACCCGGCTCCCCCCAGTGCTGCCCCAGGGCCAGGCGGTGTGAGTGCTGCTGTGCGGGAGGGGCCTGGGGGAGGGGCCCGGGGGAGGGACCCAGAATCAGAGGGAGCCAGGGCAGTGGCGGAGTCACTAGCACGCAGAAGTCCCCTCTCTGCGCCTGGTGYCCGGCCCTGCAGGAATGTCCTCCCGCAGGGCAGCCCCAGCGCCCAGGGAGCCTCTGCAGGAGCCCAGGCAGCGGTGGAAGGCGCAGGCACTGGGGAGCGCTCCACTGCGCCCYCTGGTTTCAAGGGTGTCCCCGCAGCAGCCTCGGAACAGCAGGGCCTGGGACAGGGGCGCGGGGCCTCCCATCCGCCTTCCAGACGGGGAGCCTCGCTGACTGCAGGTCACTCTGTCCCTCTGTCCGTCTCCCCCAGCTGCAGAGACAGGACACTCCCGCCCTGGCGCTCTCGGGCTGCCGGCCACCCTTGCTGCCCACCAGAACTGCTCAGCAGCCCACGCCACCCTGGCCGGGTCCTTCCTGCTGCCTAGTTCCAGCGGCGCCTGCTGAGGTAGCACGGGGACCGTCCGTCCCCAACCTGAAATCCTGGCGCTCTTCACTGAGGAGGGGCCCCCTCCCCTGGTGTGCCCCCTCCCTTAGTCTCCCTCCAGGCCTCCCCTGGCTGACCTCTAAGAGCCCAAGTCTCCATGGAGCCCCAGCCAGCGTGCACCTGGCCCAGACCTGCACCCTTCCCGCCCCCGGKAGCCCACGGAGCAGGCCACAGCCTCGCATCGCCAAGAGGAGCTTCTGCAAGTGGYTCTTGAGGCTGTTGAAACTAAAAGTAAAAACTTAATTGAAAGTATCACTGACTCCCAGAACCTGGGGATGCTGCCCCATTAGGGAACTCCTGAAGCGAAGAGTCGGAAAAGCCCTGAACACCAGCTGGGAATACAGGGAAAGTTCATCACACCACTCACAGAATCACCCACCCATCCACCCAGCCATCCATCCATCCATCCATCCCCTCCTTTTGGCATTTTGAATATATCAGCCCACCTTCTGTCCTCCAAAGTTTCTGATAAGAAATCTGCTGATAATTTTATGATGAGGTATGTATGTAATTATGGGATAATTAAGTAAGATTTCTCACATGAKGAGTTCTCTCTTGCTCTTTCAAGATTATCTCTTTGTTTTTGTCTTTTGACAGTATGACTCTAAGGTTTATAATGATGTAGGACACCTGGGCTGGACACTGAGGAATTAGCAGGAAGCAGGTTTATTGGCTGCAGCTGGTCCAGAGGGGTCTTTCACCTAAATCAATTCATCCCTCTGAACCCGAAGTCCAGAAATTTTTAGAACTTTATACCCAATGTGTGGGGGGAGGGAGGATCAGAGGTTCACAATTTGCAAAAGTCTACATAAAAGTAGTTTTTTTGTTTGTTTGTTTGTTTGTTTTGTTTTGTTTTGTTTTTAATGCAGCTGGTAAGTAACCCAAGCCTGGATACAAAAATAAACCAAGAATACTCTCTAGTGAAAATTAGTGCTTGGGAAAGGGAGGGTTCTCCTCCCCCTCTCTCCTCCCGAAGCTGACTTTCAAGTAAGCTAATTAGCACCATTCACTCTTACCTCTTTACCAGATTGTAGAGGACTTTCCCTAGGATCTAACTATTTTCCTTTGAAGTGTAAATGCTCCTGTGGAGGCTCCAGGCCCAAGGCTAGAGCTTTTGTAAACCCACTTCCCATCTGAAAACTCTTACAAACTATCATATATTGTTTTAGATTMGAAAATTTATGACACTAGATAGCCTATAAATGTTCTGAAAAACTAATAAGGGGTGCTCAGAATGTGGAGTGCTGATCTCTTCTGTGCCCACGGCCAAATTTAGTTATTGCAAGATAGAGCAACAGGAAATAGAAAGCCTAACTATATTTGAACTCTTTTGCAGAAATTCTTGTTCATAGTCCAAGAACAACCATGGTAAGGGTCTCTGAAGAAGCTTAATTAAGATTTTCTGGGGAGAAGGGAGTGCCACTACAATGATATGTTTTAATGTGGATCTCTGAATTCCTCCTAATTGACATTTACTGAGATTCTTGGATGTTTATATTCATGTCTTTCATCAAAATTGGGATATTTTCAGCCATTATGTCTTCAAATAATCTGTCACTTTCATTTTTTTCTTCTCCTTCTGAAACTCCCTCACTGTATGTATGGGTTCCCTAGGTAGTTCTTAGACTTTGTACATTTTCTTTCAATATTTTTTCTTTCTGTCCTTCAGACTTGATCATTTCAATTGTATTTTGTTCAAGTATGCTGATTCTTCTACCTATTCAGATTTCCCTTTGAATTCTTCTACTGAATTTTTCATTGCAGTTATACTTTTCAGTGCCAGGATTTCTTTCTTGTTTCATTTTAGGGTTTTCTATATTTTTATTGATATTTCCATTTTGTTTACACATTATTTTCTTGACTTTTTCACATCTTTCTTCTGTTATCTAGGTCCTTGTCCTCAATGCCAATTCAATAACGAGGATATCCTTTTGATAAAAAGGAAAAAGGTTTATTGTTTTGCTAGCAAAGGAGAAGCACCCAGAATTCCTATCCCAGAGGCTGAGATTCTTCCCTTCTGGGAGAATGCAGGTTTTTTTTAAAAGAAGAGATTCTTTCCAGGTGTTCCCAGTGGGGGCTTGTAATTCACTTGTTAATTTGGAAGATAGCCATTTTTTAGACCTTCTGGGTGCCATCCTCTAAGTCTGAATTACTTGATTCCTGTCTTGGGTGTAAAGATAATCCTCTTCCTGCCCCCAGGTTAGGGAGGAAGAGAGAGCAGAGTGAAAAAAAAAATGTCTATATAAAAATGAACCTTTTTTTTTTTTTTTGCAGTGCTGAAGACTGAACCCCTTGACCTCACACTTGCTATGCAAGAGTTCTGCCACTGAGCTATCATCTACAACCACCAGAGTGGGATCCTAATTATCCATGTTTGTATAAATATGTGATAATATACTTTACTATTATGTATAACTAAGAAGAACAAATAAAAAGTTAGTATTAATAATATGAAAATATTAATGAAATTCAAACTAAAAATAAATAAAATGATTAAAATTATAAGATTCATGTTATGTGAGAAACCAGCCTCTACCTCAGAGCAAAGCTTGTCCAAGGAAGGGGGCATGACCCTTGTCCTTGGAAAAACCGACAGAGCACTCCTAGGCACATAACCACCCTGCTGAGTTGTTTATCTACAAATAATGGGAGAGATCTGCTGCGCCTGGTGTCCCTGACTCAGGCTAGGTGAGAACCCATAG